AACAAAACTGGCCCCCCAACTGACCTCTGGGGCACGTCACTTGATACCAGCTGCCAGCTAGACATCAAGCCATTGATCACTACCCATTGAGCCCAACGTTCTGGGCCAGCTTTCTGTTCACCTCACAGTCCATTCATCCAAGCCCTCCTTCCTTAACTGTGGCAGAGCATATAAAAACTTTGCTAAAGTCAAAGTATATCAAGTCCACCACTTTCCCCATATCCAGAGAGCCAGTTATCTCATCATACATGGCCATCAGGTTGGTCAGGCAGGACCTGCCCTTGGTGAATCCATGTTGATTGTTCATGATCACCATCTTCTCCCCTAAGTGTTTCAAAATGGATTTCTTGAGGACCTGTTCCATGATTTTTCCAGGGACTCAGGTGAGGCTGACTGGTCTGTAGTTCCCTGGATTGTCCTTCTTCCCTGTTTAAAGATGGGCACTACATTTGCCATTTTCCAATCACTCAGAACCTCCCCTGATCACCATGAGTTTTCAAAGATCATGGTCAAAGGTTCTGCAATTACATCAGCCACCTCCCTCAGCACCCTCGGATGTATTAAATCTAGCCCCATGGTTTTGTGCCTGTCCAGCTTTTCTAAATAGTCCTTAACCTGTTCTTTCACCACTGAGGGCTGCTCATCTCCTCCCCATACTGCCCAGTGCAGCAGTCTGGGAGTGGACCTTGTCTGTGAAGACCAAGGCAAAAAAACCATTGAGTACCTCAGCGTTTCCCACATCCTCTGTCACTAGGTTACCTTCCTCATCCAGTAAGGGTCCCCCACCTTCCCTGAACACCCTCGTATTGCCTATAGCAACCTTTCTTGTTATCCTTCACATGCTAGCTGTAGCTCCAATTGTGCTTTGCCCATCCCAAATACACCCCTGCATGCTTAAGCAATGTATTTATACTCCTCCCCAGTCCTCTGTCCGAGTTTTCACTTCTTGTGAGCTTCCTTTCTGTGTTTAAGCTCACCAAAGATTTCTCTGTTAGCCAAGCAGGTCCCCTGCTATATTGACTATTCCTTCTGCACATCATGATGGTTTGTTCTTAGGCCCTCCATAAGGCTTATTTAAAATTCAGCCAGGTCTCCTGGACTCCTTTCCCCTGCATTTAGCCTCCCAGTGGATCCTGAACATCAGTTTCCTGAGGGAGTCAAAGTCTGCTTGTCTGAAGTCCAGGGTCCATATCCTGCTGCTCTCTTTTCTTCCTTCATGGTTCAGGGTATTTGAGCACCCAAAGCAGGGATGGGCAGGAAGACTCTGAGCTCCCGCCTGCCCACACTCAAAACCTTGGTTCTTACTGGATAGTCAGGGCACATCAGTTGATTCTGATGTAGTGCTAAACTTGCCATCTTGGCTAACACCCTGGGGACTGAATTGGGGATGTCTATAGCTGATAAGGCTGCAGCTTGAACTAAAGCGGCAGGATCCTTAGGAGCAGCTGTTGTAAGAGGATCATATCTCCTGGGGATTGGACATGGCCTGTAATACCCACTTACTGAAGGTTACAGTAGCCATAAGGGTCTCAAAGCACTTTGCAAGACACCTGTAATATTAAATACATTACGCGAAGGGATGGATTTTAGACGAGCTGAGCTCCCATTGAAGTCACTGATAAAACTCCTTCTGACTATGGTGGGTTAGGCCAGCCTGAGAAGTCTTGGACCCTAAACTGCCTGCAGATAAAGTGCTAGATCAGTGACAGTTCTGAGGAGGCCGAGGGGTTCCCTTTGGCCTAGTTGCTGATGGATAAACCGGAACCCCAAACCCAACTGCTCGCGAGACAGCAAACAGACTCTTGTTGTCCACCTCTATGGAGGAAGGAGGCCGCAGCTCGCTGGCAGTCAGAGTGAACAGAAAAGAAGTCGCACTGGTAAATGGAGGATTAAGACGCGATCGCCAAGGATTGGGTGTAGTGGGTTTAGAAACCGACCCAGGATGGCATACATTTAAAAATGAGCAGTGGGGAGTTCATGCTGTTTCCTCTCTGAACATCTCTCGACAGCTTTACGATGCCTTTCTAAAGGCTTTTGAAACCTACACATGTGTGGCAGTGAATCTATCATGCATCAACAGTTTTTGCTTGTGTCTGCTTGAGAGGAAAATCTGGAACAGGACAAAATGGTAGAATTAACCAGTTTAGACTCTCTAATGGCAGCCATTTTTGCAGGCATCCATAATAGGGTGTGAACCAGGCAGTTAATAAACCTTGATGAAATTTGTCAGAGTGAAAGGGTCCCCTCCATACTTATAGCATCTTTTACTAACACAATTAACAGTCATGGCAGCTCTGTTACAGAACAGATATTACATCTGCAGGGAAGTTGGGAGCTTCAGCGGGGCAGAGTCTCTGTTTCAAGCGGCCAAAAAGCCTAGAAGAACTTTGAATATAACAGGCCCGTTCAGAACAACTTGGCTTTCAGACCAAGGTGCTTTCCACAAACCAGCTTGAATCTGTTTGCAAAGAAACAAAGCCATTGTATCAGATGTGGCTGCGGAATGGCAGGCAGATTTGGTGGATACGCATGAATTCTCCAAACACCGCAGCAATAGACATTCTAATCCAAATACGCCTGGGCTTTCGGCCTAAAAGACAAGATGGGCAGTGAGGTAGCCAAGGTCTTTAAAGCTGTTTTCAGTGAAGGTAGAGTACGTCAAAAACAAACCAATCGGGGGAAAGAACTAAACCTTTAAGCAAGTTTAAGCAGGCATGATATTCCCCATTTTGTTACTAATAATGTTACAGGCTGGGGACTGACTGGCTAAGCAGCAGTTTGGCAAAAAAGGACATGGGGATTCCAGTGGATGAGAAGCTGGATATGAGTCAACAGTGCACCCTTGTAGCCAAGAAGGTGAATGGCATATTAGGGTGCATTAGGAGGAGCATTGCCAGCAGATCTAGGGAGGTGATTATTCCCCTTTATGCGGCACTGGTGAGGCCACATCTGGAGTTTTGCATCCAGTTTTGGGCCCCTCCACTACAGATAGGATGTGGATGCATTGAGAGGGTCCAGTGGAGGGCAACCAAAATGATTAGGAGGTTGGAGCACATGAGCTATGAAGAGAAGATGAGGGATTTGGGTTTGTTTAATCTGCAGAAGCGAAGAGTGAGGGGGAATTTGAGAGCAGCCTTCAACTTCCTGAAGGGAGGTTCCAAAGAGGCTGGAGAGAGGCTGGTCTCAGTGGTGACAGATGGCAGAACAAGGAGCAATGGGCTCAAGTTGCAGTGGGGGAGGTCTAGGTTGGATGTTAGGAAAAACTATTTCCCGAGGAGGGCGGGGAAGCACTGGGCTGGGTTCCCTAGGGAAGAGGTGGAATCTCCATCCCTAGAGGTGTTTAAGTCTCGGCTTGACAAAGCCCTGGCCGGGTTGATTGAGTTGGGATTGGTCCTGCCTTGGGCAGGGGGCTGGACTCGATGACTCCTGAGGTCTCTTCTATGGTTCTATGAACTCAAAATGAGGGTTGTGAAGCGATTTAACAGAACTTTAAGTCTAAGATGTGGAGAGATTTTATTTCCCATAATACCTTTGACTACATCAATGTATCAGAGGAGTCGCCGTGTTAGTCTAAATCTGCAAAAGCGACAAGGAGTCCTGTAGCACCTTATAGACTAACGGATGTAACGGAGCTTAAGCTTTCGTGGGCAAAGACCCACTTCGTCAGATTCATGTAGTGGAAATTTCCAGAGGCAGGTATAAATACGTCAATGTATTATCTCAGTTTATAAAGATTTACAATGAGAGTTTTCATAGAACTATAAGTACCGGACTGGCTGGTGTTAACCCTTCAAATTCTCTGAAGGTATGAAAAATGGTTTACAGAGACTGTTTTAAATAAAAACCACTTGTTGCCCCTTTCATGAGATTATCTAAAACCAAAGGATCTTTTGAAAAATTTAAAAAATGGATGTTTACCAATGGGATATTCATAGTAGATGAAGCCTTAAACACCGGCCAGAGACCTGTATGCTGATTAAAAGATTACAAAAAGTAAATTACAAATGAGACAGGATCTACAGGACTGTCAAGGCTGTTCCCCACTCTGGCATAATAAATGCAGAAATGGGGTCCCACAAAAGCACCCCAAAACTTGATCTCTACAGGCTTTGGTACAAAAACTCCCCCATAATCCTAATACCTGGATTTGGGAGAATAAAAAACCTCTGCCACCACTCAAGTATTCCAAAGAAACCAGGGAAGTCACTTGGGAAATCTCTTCCCTAAAAAACCTCAGGGATACCTCAAGCACTTTTCCCCAAAGAGCTTGAAAAAGAAAAGAGAAAATACAAGCTGCAGTCTGTGGTAGCTGTCCTGTAGTCAGAGGCATGCAGATACACACAGATTTTCTAGGACACAGAAATGAACCAATACTAGGTTAATTTTTTTAAAAAAGGAACTAACTTCTATTATCAAAACAATATCCTATTTGCCAGCATAGTGACTTGATAGAAAAGAGCCACCAATTCATCTAGATACTCAAGGGAATCCCCTGGGCTCAGGACTTAGTTACAAAAGAGAGGGAAACCCACTTTTAACAGCACAGACATCATTTCCACATTCCCAAACTAGGAAAACAATAAAGCCTGACAGGTTAACTAACGGGCCAGAGACCTGTATGCTTTGCTTCATGTTCCCCCACTTGTGGAGATAAAATTAACATCTACGTGGAACAGGGCATTCTCAGATTTTGCTCCAAGGGTGTGGAATTCTCTTCCTCAGGATATTCGCATGGCGCCAACGCTAGCGTTGTTTCATCGTCAGGCCAAAGCCACCCTTTTTACTCGTGCTTTTATTAATGTTTGAGTCTGTATGTGTGTGTTCCTCCTCTCTATATGTTTTTAGCTGGTTATGTCCCTCTGGTGTCTCATATTTTAAATTTGTATATATATTTGTATTTTTTGGGGTTGTTTTTGTAAGCCACCTTGAATATTTTAAATAGAAAGGCGGGGTAAAAATATTTAAATAAATAAAAATAAAATAAACTTTATTCTACTTACATATTGTGAAAAGACTTTTCTTGAAGAAAGAGACAGCCTCCCATCTCCATGTTACCTGGAAGAAAACCGCTCGGACTCAGGCAAAGGAGGGAAAGTTAAAAATTCCTTTGTCCCAGTTTGAAATTCCTACTGCATTATTATTGGCTGACCGGATACCTGGCTAAAGCCAGGAGACATAGTTAACCCTTTAGTCCCCAGGCTGCTGGCCAGTCCTCATGGTTAGCACTGAGAAGGTTCTAGTGGACAAAGGAAAGGGAGAAAAAAGCAGCTACTGCTGAAATGGTTGAGGTAGCTCGATAAGTTTCACAGCTGGGTGAAAGCTTCTCAACTCTGTGGCATTTAGATGCAAACAAAAATGCTTCCTCCTTCAAAGAGAGAGAGAGAGAAATGAGCAATGGCATTCTGGCATTAGAATATCCCTGCTGTCTCCTCTTCACTCTGGGTATGTCTACACTACCCCCCTAGTTTAGGGTTCCTAATCCGAACTATCTAGTCCGTGTCGCGTGTAGCCGCGCGGCACGGGGTTCGCACTAGCCGGCTTTTAAAAATGGCGGCGCCGGCTTTATGCTAATGAAGCCCGGGAAATTCAAATCCCGGGCTTCATTAGCAAGTTCGGTATGCATACATTACCCCCCTAGTTCGAACTAGGGGGGTAGTGTAGACATACCCTCTGATGACAGGAAATAGCTTTTCAATCCAGGACCTGTGAGAAGTTCTTAGAAAGAGGACAAGTGACGGTTAAAGCAGAAGCAATTCAACAACTGATCATACAGACTTGGTAGAGGCAGTGGGAGGAGTTCTTGGAGAGGTCACATGACTCACTTCCTGACTGATCACCCCACCCTAGAATTCCCTCAGATTGGTCAGATTCCTTCTCTATAACCAAAACTCATCCTGATTGGTAGAGAGCTGTGGGAGGAGTTCTTAGAAGGGTCACATGATACCCTTTGCTTCCAGTCATGTGTCCCATTTGAGAGAACTCAAAGCAAAAGACAAAAGCAAGTAATGTTCTAGACCTGAGGTGTGATTAAATGGGAAAAGAGAATGAAGGATGATTAAAACTCTAGAGACTCTGAGTCTGTCACTTTTAGGAACTATCACCACGTAAGAGAGTACACAAATTCGGTTTGTGGTAAGTGGAGGCAGAGAAAATAAAGACACACTAAATCAAGGGCAGTTCATTCTAATATTCCCAAATCACTGGATAATACTACATTGACTTAATTAATTTTGAACGTCTATGTAATTAAGCAAAGTAACCCTCTTGGTGCTGAACAAGATAATGAACAACAATTATGGCTTTGTTATACTACACTAATCTGTTTTGAAATATATATAGATTTTATTTTGATTAGGCACAAACTTAGTTTCCACACTACACGTAAACCTCTCCGATTTCAGCAAATTACTGTTGGCATGTACATTATGATAATCAGCCAAGCTTGACAAACTATACAATCTACTTACCCGTGGCGAGTAGATTTCAGCCGCGCGCCCCGTTCATTCATGGTGTGCACATGCGCAATGCGGCTCTTGCGCATGCGCAGTATGGGGCTGGCGAACAGTTTTCGCCACCATTTGTCAAGCCCTGATTAATCAATATAGAATCCATCCGATCAGGTAGTTTTTCCCATGTCATTTCAGTTACTTCCTAGTCCCCGGTAATGATGCTGTGGTAGATCAAAATATTTCATGGTGGCTCCTTTCTGCTTGACTTTGTGTTGCATGTTTTCTTTGTCACCATCCTACTCCAGGGAACATTTCCAAGCATTTGAACTCCATGCAGTAAGAATATTAGATTGCTTTGATTCATTTGCAAATCCACACTTCAGACTAGTGCACCTAATGAAGTTTCGGACTGTGTGCTGGTTTGGGTTTCCGCAGTCAGTCCTCCCAACAGCATGGCAGTGCGCGCCATTTTCCAAAGGAGCCTAAAAAAATTATGCACTCAACTTACACTGAGCATGACTCCCTTGAGCTCCTTTCAAAATCCCATTGGTCTCACTCTGCCACTTATGGTGTAAGGGCAACCAAAATGATGAGGGGAGTGGAGCACATGGCCTATGAGGAGAGGCTGAGGGAGTTGGGTCTGTTTAGTCTGCAGAAGAGAAGAGTGAGGGGGGATTTGCTAGCAGCCTCCAACTACCTGAAGGGAGGTTCCAAAGAGGATGGAGAGAGGCTGGTCACAGTGGTTGCAGATGGCAGAACAAGGAGCAATGGGCTCAAGTTACAGTGGGAGAGATCTAGGTTGGATAATAGGAAAAACTATTTCATGATGAGGGTGGTGAAGCACTGGAATGGGTTTCTTAGGGAGCCAAGGGTAGACTCCATCCCTAGAGGTTTTTAAGACCCGGCTTGACAAATCCCTGCCTGGGATGATTGAGTTGTAGTTGGTCCTGCTTTGGTCAGGGGGACTCGGTGACTCCTGAGGTCTCTGCCAGCCCTGGGATTCTATGCTTCTATGATTAATCTCAATGAAAATCAAGGGGGATTGGGTTCCTATCTGCTCTTCGGGCCTTACATTGCCCCTGCTTTCATTGGCTTATGTGATAGAGCAGCTATCTTTGGATCCACACTCTTGGTTTACATTCCTGGGAGAAGAATTCAGTCCTCCCAACGTGTAACAGTGAAAGTTCATTTGTACTTAGTGGCTGCAATTGTAGCATAACAGGATTTTGCACAAGGTGAATGTACAAAAGTCTAACTTCAAAATAATCAGAGGATAAAAATGAGGAAATTGCTGGAACGATAATGAACAATTTAGCCCTCCAATTACATGAATTAGTGGTAATTATGGGTATCTAAAAGCATAACCACAAAATACTAACATTGTGGAGCCATGTAATTACAGTCATTCCATTATCATGTTTAACCTACATTTCTAGGCTGCAAGTGTGGCAGAGACGGTAGAACATTTCTTATCAGCTGATGTTGCCAGCAGCCTAATGACATGCTTAGAGAGGAGGGAGAAACAATAACAGGAAACATGGAAATGGCACAGGTGCTTAATGACTTCATTGTTTCGGTTTTCATCAAGAAGATGGATGGTGACTGGATGCCTAACATAGTGAATGTTGTTGGGAATGGGTTAGGTTCAGAAGTTAAAATAAAAGAACAAATTAAAAATTATTTAGAAAAGTTAGACGTCTGCAAGTCACCAGAATACTCCTAGAATACTCAAGGAGCTGATAGAGGAGGTATCTCAGCCTTTAGCTATCATCTTTGAAAAGTCGGGAGAGATTCCAGAAGACTGGAAAATGGCAAATAGAGTGCCCATCTATAAAAAGAGAAATAAGAACAACCCAGGAAACTACAGATCAGTTGGTTTAACTTTTGTCCCAGGGAAGATAATGGAGCAAGTAATTAAGGAATTCATCTGCAAACATCTGGAAGATAATGAGGTGATAGGTAACAGCCAGCATGGATTTGTAGACAACAAATCATGTCAACCCAATCTGATAGCTTTCTTTGATAGGATAACAAGTCTTGTGGATAAGGGAGAAGCAGTGGACGTGGTATACTTAGACTTTAGTGAGGCATTTGACATGGTCTCACATGACCTTCTTATCAGTAAGCTAGGCAAATACAACCTAGATGGGGCTACTATAAGGTGGGTGCATAACTGGCTGGATAACAATTCTCAGAGAGTAGTTATTAATGGTTCATAATCAGGCTGGAAGGGCATCACAAGTAGGGGTCTGTTTTGGGGCTGATTCTGTTCAATATCTTCATTAATGATTTAGATGATAGCATAAAGTACTCTTATTAAGTTTGCAGATGATACCAAGCTGGGAGGGGTTGCAAATGTTTTGGAGGATGGGGTCAAAATGAAAAATGATCTGGACAAACTAGAGAAATGGTCTGAGGTAAGGAGGATGAAGTTTAGTAAGGACAAATGCAAAGTATTCCACTTAGTCACTTCCCAATCTGCATGAGTGAAACTGATTGTTCCTTCCTGTCTAGGAAGGATCCTGCAGAAAGGGATCTAGGGGTCATAACGGACCACAAGTTAAATAAGAGTCAATAGTGTGTCGCTGTTGCAAAAAAAAGCAAACATGATTCTGGGCTGCATTAACAGGAGTGTTGTGAGCAAGACACAAGAAGTCATTCTTCTGCTCTACTCTGCGCTGATTAGGACTCAGTTGAAGTATTGTGACCAGTTCTGGGCACCACACTTCAAGAAAGATGTGGAGAAATTGGAGAAGGTCCAGAGAAGATCAGTAAAAATGATTAAAGGTCTAGAGAACGTGACCTATGAGGGAAGACTGAAAGAACTCGTTTAGAAAAGAGAAGACTGAGAGGGGACATGATAGCTGTTTTCAAGTAGCTAAGGGTATGTCTACACTACCCTCCTAATTTGAACTAGGAGGGTAATGTAGGCATACCGCACTTGCAAATGAAGCCCGGGATTTGAATCTCCCGGGCTTCATTTGCATTCCATGAGGAGTACAGCTAGTTCGGATTAGGAAGCCTAATCTGAACTAGCTACTCAGTGCCGCGTGTAGCCGCGCGGCACGGGGTTCGAACTGCCGTAGAGAAGAGCAACAAGAATGATTAAAGGTCTCTAGAGAACATGACCTGTGAGGGAAGACTGAAGGAATTGGGCTTGTTTAGTTTGGAAAGAAGAAGACTGAGGGGGGACTTGATAGCAGTTTTCAAGTATCTAAAAGGGTATCCCAAGAAGGAGGGAGAAAATTTGTTCTCCTTGGTCTCTAAGCCCATTGCTTCTTGTCCTATCCTCAAACTGAAGTAAGGGAAGTTTAGGTTGGGCATCAGAAAAAACCACCTGCCTGTCAGGGTGGTTAAACACTGGAATAAATTGCCTAAGGAGGTTGTGGAATCCCCATCACTGGAGATATTTAAGTGCAGGTTAGACAGACACCTGTCAGGGATGATCTAGATGGTGCTCGGTCCTGCCATGAGGACAGGGGAGTGGACTCAATGACCTCACAAGGTCTCGTCCAGTTCTAGTATTCTATGGCTGAGGTTATTTTTTTTTCTGAGCACCAGCACGGCTGTAATTATGCTAGT